ATATACACTGTGGTAAATTATTTTGTAAAAGGCATAAGCTGTTAATACACACTCAGGAAATACTGCTCCTACGCATCTTGCCTAAAGTACCTACTGAAGAATGAACTTCCACAATATATTATTCCTGTAGCTTGTCAAATCTCCAACTGGGGCTCTGGGTCTCCTGATCAACACCAGTTTTGAGCACCATCCAAAAACCCCTCCCCCTCCCCATTCCCTTGAATTTCAACTGGAGAGAGTTCTACAGGGTGGAACAGATTTTTAAAGCAGGAGTTCTGGGTTCAATCTAAGGCAATACATGGACCTCATAAGCACCACGAGGAAGGACCCCCCCACCCCCCCACCAGCAGAATCAGGTGTGACAAACCTCACCCACACACACCCCATTGTATTTTCAAAGAGAAAACTCTCCCCACACACACCCATACTGAATTTTCAGACCTGAATTTTCAGGCCCTGAGCAGGTTCCAGAATTTTGAAAAAGTTCAGCAGATAGAAAGCCTCCCTTTTAAGCATATGGTCCCAAATTCAATTCCTGGTGCCACACACACTAAATATAATTCTGATCTGCTGCCTGCAAGTCCCATCATCACAAGTGATTTATAGTCACAGCCTGTGGTTCAGGTTAGAGTACCACAAAGAGGCCACCCAGAAGCACTAGTAACTAAGATATGAGCACCACAGACACCACTACCCCTGGAGAGCATGACAACCAGAGCAGGCGCCTCAACAAAAGAATGTGGCTACCAGCTACCATCGTACAATCACTGCAGTAAAGTAGTACAAACCTCAGTGAGCACCAGGGCTGCGTGTGAGCACTGTAAGCTGATGTACAACCCCGGCGACAAGCACCACAGTCAAGTACTCGTGGCCACTGCTCTATCAAGAATAAGAGTAGGCCAGAGAGACAGTACAGCAGGGACAGTGCTTGCCTTAAACACGGACGATGTGGATTCAATCCCCAGCATCCCATATGATTCCCTACACTCCACCTGGAATGAGAATCAGGTGCATATTCTGATCATCGCTGGATGTGATTCCAAAAAAAAGGAGCAAGGTCAAATGAAATTTTTTAAAAAGCTGCAAATAAAACTCATTAAGTATGTTTGTCTTCTATTTTTTTTCGGGGGGGGGGGCCGCAGTTTACATAGCTGTGCTCAAAGTCAACATCAAGGATCTGTCTAGTGGTGGAGAAAGGATGGGAAGGGAGGCAGGTCATACCAGGAATTAAACCCTGGCCATTCATCTGAGCCACATTCCCACTCCCTCATCAAATGTTTACATCCATGACTAAGGGGTGTTTGAAGTTCCGGTTGAAAACTACCGTGTAGGTTTTTATTCAGTATATAATAATGTGCATTTGGAGGCCAGAGAAATAGAACAGCGGGTAGGGTACTTGTCTCACTTGTGACCAAAGTAGATTCAATCCCTGAGCAAAGAACTGGGAGTAGGGCCTAGACACTGACAGGTGTGACCAAAGATCAAACAATACAACAACATGCATTTTTTACTTAGCACATAATTCACAAAAGTTAGAAACTGTTCAACTTCAGTAATATGTTCAAAGTGTCATATTTAAAAAAATAGTAAATCATGGTCAAATGACAAATCACGGTCCTCCCGTTGTTCATCGATTTGCTCAAGCGAGCCCAGTAACGTCTCCATAGTGAGACTCGTTGTTACTGTGTTTGGCATATTGAGTACGGGCAGGCGAGATACTCTCAGTAGCTTGCCGGGCTCTCCGAGAGGGGCGGAGGAATCGAACACGGGTCGGCCATGTTGGCTCCATGCAAGGCAGACGCCCTACCGCTGTGCTATCGCTCCAGCCCAAAATAGTAAACTTTTCAAAATAAGGTTAAAGATAATTTAGGGATTGTTTTAGACAATCTCCATCTCTGTTTAGTATTCTATATCTTGGACTCTTTTTCCTAATGTTCCCCATCAGCAATTTAGAATTTTAGAAAAAAAAGAAGTAATTTTAGTAAAGAAAAGTTGTTTCAATGCACACTTATTTTTTCTACAACTTCCTCCTAAGGACATTTACTTACAATTTTAATATCTGCTTGAAGTCAAAATACCAATCTTAGGGCCGGAGAGAGAGTACAGTTGGGTAAAGTGCGTGCTTTGCATCTAGCTGACCCACACTCAATCCCCAGCACTGTATGTGGTCTGTGAGAATCACCAGAAGTGATACTTGAACAAAGGAGCCAAAAGCAAGCCCTAAGCACCTCTAGGTGTGGTCCAACTCCCTCACACTGCCCCATGCAAAAGGCCAGCATCAAACCAACTAACTGTCTTAGCAAAATCTTCTTGGTTATCAATTCCATCATCTGGAGGAGGGGGATATGGGGGAGCTGAACCACAACCAGCAATACTTGGGGGTTACTCGGCTCTGTGCTCACTCCCAGAGGTACCAGGGGGCCATGCAGCACTGAGAATCAAATTGGAGCCAGTCACATTAATCTCTGTACTCTCTCTCCAGCTCATGCATTAATGAGTTCTTGCTTAAAACTATGAAAGATGCTTAAGGAACAATTCTGCATCCCAGCTCTGAATTGCTGTTTATTCTTGTTGTAATCTCAGAAATCAAAGCTCAAGCAGGCTATAAATGGATGAGATAAAACATCAAATTTCAGTATCAAAAGTTGTGTTTATAAAAATGAATCGGGATAGGGTCAGACATAGTACAGCGGGTAAGGTGCTTGCCTTGCATGCAGCCGACCCGGGTTCGGTCACCGGCACCCCATATGGTCCCCCCAGCACTTTCTGGAAGTGATCCCTGAGCACTGAGCCAGGAGTGGCCCAAAAAGCAAAACAAACCTACTGAAAGAGAATCAGGGGCAGGAGAAAGCACACAGGCTACTTGGGCTGAGCACAAGCTCTGCATGCAGGAGGCCAGGGTATCCCTGACACCAACTGGTCTGCCAGAACCTCTAGGATTGAGCACAGACCCTTACCTTACCTTAATGTACCTACACACACACACAGCCACGTGTAGCCCAAAAACTGTACTTTAAGTTTTTAAAACAAATCAAAGGCTAAACGAAACCAAAATGTATAAATACCAGTTGCCTGAACAAGTCTTTTTTTGTGCGTGTATTGTGGGGGCGCTTCACACCCACACCCAGTGGTATTCAGATCTTACTCTTGGCTCTGTGCTCAGGGATCACTACTGGAGGGCTCAGAGGACCTTATGAGGTGCTGGGGACTGAACCTGGTTGGCTGCATGTGAGGCAAGGCCCTGCCCCCTGTGCTGTCATTCCAGCCCTGAACAACAAATCTTAAGTATTTTTGAAATTCTACAAAGAACCCTCCACAACTAGTTCTTTTAATACGATCCCCTAATGGGAGAGGGTAGATTTTAAAGTCCTCTATCAGAATGCAGCTGTCCAGAAAATAAGGTTAATTTTTTCTCACATCTTGACAGTCCAGTCAGGCTACTAAAACACTTTTAGAATAAACTCTTTATATATTCACAGCCAAAGTATCTTATCAAAAGGAAAGACAATGTGCAGCTGATAAGCTGAATTAAAAAGTTTCAAGTATTGTTCTAATGGTTTGATACAATCTTTATCAAAACTGTGAAAGTGAAGCCGGAGACTACAGGGTAGGGCACTTGCACAAGGCAAGCCTGGTTTGATCCCAGCACCCCCTCCCAACCTCCCCCATCCCACCTTGCCAGAAGCTCAGAGCTAGGAATCAAACTTTAAACTCACTCAACCCCTCCCAGGAAAGTGGGGAAAAAAAAACCACTTAAAATGAATTGCTTTTTCCTCTTTAAGAGAAATGTAATGAATGAGTAAAGGAGCAATTAGCAAATTTAAAAGAAATAGTGTCAACCTCAGCATTACTTTAGAAAGTTGGCACCTAACAATTTTTAAACTTATTTCTATGAATGCCAGTTATTTGCATCCTCGTTTAAATCAAAATGTTCAGAACAGGTGTACTTCTACAAAGAAGTTTCATTTTTTAAACTTAGTAGAACCATGAGATTGAATGTCACACGGCCAGATTTTAAAACTGCTTCTTAACAAAGTATTAAAAATGCAGCTCGTCTACATGACCATTCAATGGGAGTTCGTTTTTCCTTTCCAAAGTTAGGTAAGATGTTAAAAGGCTATAGTACAACCATAGCAAATCTTGTAGGAAATCAACATACGCTAAGCAAGCAAAAGTAGGATGCATCACTTACTGAAAGCCTACGCTTATTAAGAGAGCAAGAATTCTTAACTAGACAAGGGAGCCAAAACAAAAACCACCTTATAAACACTGCACTCAAAATAAAAATTAAAAAAAAAACCACTTTCATCTAGCTGCTCTCCAGCCCCTACTCAAAAGGAAATCACCAAAGCTGTGATGTTTGGGAAACAACTCATGCCACACAAACCATACACACACACACACACAAAAAAAAAAACAAAGCGGAATATTCCTCGAGAAAATAGCCCTAACTCATAATGTAAGTTTCAGATTGACAATACTTGGAAATAAATAAAACCCTGAGCATATGTAATAAATTTGCTATCCTAGAAAGTTTACAGGACAGGCAAAAAAAAAAAATTGTAACATCTGGAATTTGTCAGATAAAAAACACCCCGAGTCCTCAAGAGAAATAGAAGTGGCACTTCAAACACCCACATGTAAAATAAAAGTGAATAAAGGAGAGAATGAGAAAATAACCAGCAACAAAAGAATCGGAAACAGGACCAAAGCCACAAAATTCTGGGAATAAGTATTTCGCTGATGCTAAGGGTCAATGAAAAAGGCATCTTTTATTTTTCCCCCAAGCTAAAAAAAAAAAAATTGAAAAATCTAAGTATTCCGAAACGGACACTCGTAACCAATTTCTGAAACACGGAGCATGCCCGAAGCCGGCGAAGCTTGCGTGCGCGCTCGGAGGGCGGCCCGGGGCTGACCCTTTCCCCAGCCCCCGGCCCTCCTCGGGCCACCCCGGGCCGCGGGAGACGAAGGGGGGGGAAGGGGGAGGGGGCTCGACTCACATCGTCTCTCCGGTCTTGGCGACGTGACAGAGAAACTGGTCCAGCACTGGGCACACTTCCTTCTTGCCCCTCTTCTCGAAATCTGCGAAGGAAGAAAGGCAGACGCCAAGCGCTCAGCATCCCGCCCGGCTCCGCGCGCGGCGGCCCCCCGCAGACAGTGCTCGGAGGCCCGGGGCCGACTCCCCCCGCAGCCCCTCCCCCTCGGCCGGGCCGCGGGTTCGAGCCTAGAAACCCCCGCCTCCTTCCCCCACCCCACCCGCGACGACAACAACAAGGTCACGGGAAAACCCAAAAAACAAAAAAACACCCGCCGCTTCGGCACGTCCGAGCAGGACCCGGGGCCGCGGCCGCCGGCGCCAAGTTGCGCGGAGCCCGATTTCCCGCAGCCTGTTGCGCGGGGCGGGGGAGGAGGAGGGGGCGGCGCGGGCGACCCTCGGAGGCGGGCCCGGGGGGGGGGGGGGGGACGCCCGCCCGCCCGCCCCCAGCCCCGGGTCCCCGCGGCGTCCCGGCGTCCCGGCGGCGGCGCGGGCCCGGCTCCCCTCCCCCGCCGGACGCGGCGGCCCACACAAAGCCCACGGCGCGGCGGCGGCGGCGGCGGCGGCGCTGCCCACGGGGCTGCCCTCCCCCGGGGCGGAGCGCGCCGCCGCGCCCGGGAGAGCCAGGCCCGCGCGGGGCGCGGCGGGGCCGCGGCGGCCGCCCACCCCCTCCCCACCTTTCAGCGCCTCCAGCAGCCTCTCGACGTCCATGGCTTCCCGGAGCCGCCCGCAGCCTCGCCTCGTCCGCCGCTCGCCCGGGGACCGGACCGCCTCCCCCCACCCCCCCGACGCCCTCCCCCTCCCTCGCACACACTCCGGCACGTAGGCGACGGGGGAGGGGGGCACCGAAGGGAGCCGGGGGAAGCGAGCGAGAGAGCGAGACCGAGCGGGCGAGCACCTCCCGAGCCGCTACCACCAGCCCTCCAACATGGCGCCCGGCACGTCACCGCGCGCACGTTCCCGCCGCCGTCCTCGCGCCCGCCGCGCGCCGGCCCGGGCCCAGGGCGCGTGCGCGGGGAGGCGGGGCGCGGGGGCGGCCCCGCGCGCGCAGGTGGGGGCGGGCGCGCGCCTGCGCGGTGCCGGGGAGCGCTGCGGAGGGCTGCGGGGCGCTCGGCGCTTTGGAGCGGGCCGGGCTCCGGCTCCTCCACCTCCCGGACCTCGCTTGAGCGCCTAGCTGGTTGCCTGCGTGCTGGGGTCTCCAGCTGTCCGAGGAGGGCGCTAGTGCCCATCGCCCTGCAAACTCGCCTTGAGAATGAAGTGGCCTCTGTACACATGCAAAAATACCCCGGGCGCGGGGAGACGGGGAGGAGGGCGGGCTCCCTCTTCTTACGGGGAACTAATTCTTCTCCTGTCGGAATCCCCGGTTCAGTCTCCTACAGTACCGCCTGGTCCCCTCAAGCGCCGTGAAAGCAAATCCCGGCATTGCCAGGTGGGCTCCCCTAGATGAAAAACATTCTGTTACTAATAATCGTAGCAGAAGACCTCGGAGGTTCTTCCATCGTTCTTCACCGATGCACCCTTGAATAGAAGAAATGAGAATCGCAAAGTGGTTCAGAATACAAAGGGGGGAGTCACCTGGATTCAAAACCAAACTCAGGACCAGAGAGGGGAGGGGGGTCTTGTTTGCCGCCCACCTGGATTCTATCTAAAGCATCCCATAGGGTCCCCTGAGCCCAGCCAGGAGGGACCGCTGAGTGCAAAGCCAGAGAAAGCCCTGAGCACAGTCTATGTGGCCCAACACCTCCCACCTCCCCCCCAAAAGAACACCCTAAGCTCAATAAATTTACTCCCTCTATGAGCCTGGACTAGTTACTTAGATTCACTGAGCCTTCCTATCCCACGTAAGTGGATTTTGTGGAAAAATTAGTGAGACTTGAAGGGCCAATGGGAGGCCTTTACCACAGTGCCTATAGCTGCTCTTTTTGTTGTTTTTGGTTTCTGCCACAGTCAGAAATGCTCAGGGCTTACTCCGACTCTGTACTCAGGGACCACTCCTAGAAGCCCCAGGCCTCTGGGCCATATGCGTGGCGGAGGACAAGAGGGGCAGGGAAATGGAACCCGGGTGGACCAGATGCAAAGCAAATACCTTACCTGTGTACCTCTCTCTGGGGACTCTCTGGGGAAGGTTAGGGGGGCACACCTGGCAGTGCTCAGGACTGATTCCTGGCTCTGTGCTCAGGGTCACTTCTGATGGCCTCGGGAGACCATATAGAGTACTGGAGATTGAACCCCTCAGCTGCATGCAAGGCAAACACCCTACCTGTTGTACTATTGCTCCAACCCCTAGAACGGCTGTTGTGCTTTGGTTTGGTTTTAGGACACACCCAGCAATGCTCAGGGGTTATTCCTGGCTCTGCACTCAGTAATTACTCCTGGATGTGCTTGGAAGACCATACAGGATTCTGGGGATTGAACCCAGGTTCACTGCATGCAAGGCAAGCACACTAACCAGTGTACTATCTCTCTGACCTAGAACTGCTATTTTTATTATTACTGTTTTGATTCTTGAAGTGGGCAGGTGTTAGAGAAGGCATGAAACTCTTCCTCAGAATGTTTCCCAAATGGGAAAATGGAGGTATAGCCAGCTAATGGCAAAGCAGCACCAGAAGCCAACACATCTGATTCCGAGCCAGTATGTGGTCATTATTGTCTTCTCTTGTTTGTGGTAAAGGCCCTCCCGTTGATCGTCGATTTGCTCGAGCGGGCCCAGTAACGTCTCCATTGGAGACTTTGTTGTTACTGTGTCTGGCATATCGAATACTCTCGGTAGCTTGCCGGGCTCTCCAAGAGGCGGAGGAATCGAACTCGGGTCCGGCCATGTTGGCCGCTTGTAAGGCGAACGCCCTACACGCTGTGTGAGCATTTCCAAAAAAGTTTCCTTTCCAAAATTAAGAACAGGGCCAGAAAGTACATGCTTGCCTCACATGTGAGACCCCCAGTAGCTACCCAGCAGCATATATAGCCCCCCAAAAGAAAGGCCAAGAAGGATAGAAGGAGTTTCTCTTCTTTCTTTTTTCCTTTGTGTGTACACGTGTGTATATGTTTGTGTGTGTGTTTGGGGGCCATAACCAGTGGTGCTCAGGGCTTGTCTTGCCTCTGTACTCAAGAATCACTGCTGGAAGTATTCAGGAAACAGTATGCAGTGCCCAGGATCAAAGCCCGATTGACCATGTGCAAGACAAGAACCTTAACTCCTAAGCTATCTTCCTGGTCCCAAGAAAGCTATTTATTTTGTTTTTTGAGGTTCCACACCTAGAGATTTTGAGGACTTACTCCTGGTTCTGTATTCAGGGATCATCCTTTGCAGTGCTCAGGGTACCGTAGGTAGGTGCTAGGGATAGAACCTGCATCAGCTGCAGGCAAAGCAAGTACCCTAATCCCTGCACAATCTCTCCATCCCAGAAAGCTATTTCTTTTTTTTTTTTTTTTTTTTTTTTGGTTTTTGGGTCACACCCGGCGATGCTCAGGGGTTACTCCTGGCTCATGCACTCAGGAATTGCTCCTGGCGGTGCTCGGGGGACCATATGGGGTGCTGGGAATCGAACCTGTGTCGGTCATGTTGGCTGCGTGCAAGGCAAACGCCCTACCCGCTATGCTATCGGTCCAGCCCCAGAAAGCTATTTCTTGACTTGCATTAGAAGGTATATATTTGGACACAATCATTAAATCAGAATTAAATAAATCATAAACTCAGTTTCTGAGGAAGGGAGATTGGTCAAAATGGTGGAGCACCTGCCTAGCATACAGGAGACTCTGAGTTCCACCCCAAGTGCAGCTGGGTAGGCCCCTGGTGGCCCCTAAACACCACAGCACTCATGGAACACCGCTGGCAGAAGCAGTTTACATTATATAAAAACATAAATTAGGGGGACAAGGGGGAGAGTTCAGCAGTTAGCTTGCACGCAGTCAACCTGGGTTCAATCCCCAGCTTCTCATATAGTCCCCTGTGCACTGCCAGGAGTGATTCCTCAGTGCAGAGCCAGGAGTAACTCCTGAGTATCTCCAGGTGTGGTCCCACCAAAACACAAAAAAATGTAAATAAAATAAGCCAAGAGTTATAGTCCAGGGCTTAAGGTGCTCACCTCGCATATTACTGAGCCTAGTTCAATCTCCTGTCCCCCCTAAGAACAAAGCCAGGAGTAGTCCCTGAGCACTTCAGAGTGTGACATAAATCACACACACACACACACACACACACCCCAAATAAACTCAGTAGCTAGGTTTTTCTTTTAAAAAATTTTTTTTTCATAAGGTTGTACGAGCTGAAAATGTATGAAGACGATAGAGAACTAATTAGTCCAAATTGGTGATTCCTGAGTGGGCAACTTGCAAGTAAGATAATAAAGAGAACACTGTAGGAACAATGTACACAAACACTCATCTGAAGACACAATTACCAAACACAACAGGATAATAACTATCCCAAACAAAAATTTAAATCAGATTTTTGTACTTTAAATAGTAGTCTCGTGAGACATGAGACCTCAAGAAATTGAGTTAAAACTCAATACTCTTCCTCTCCACAGAAATCTTTAGTAAAAGGTGAAAGATTTATATGATCTGAAGAGAAAACAGAGTTGTACTAGGTTTTTCAATAACCTTCAGTTCTTCAAACACACTAGCCACTTCTATACCATATAACAAGGAAACAGAAAATTCCATCACAAGACATTCTTTTAGATCACTCAGTTAGAGAACATAGCAGGCTTCTTTCTTCCCCCTCACTTGTCGGCTGCTCCCATCATTTGCGGATGCTTCTATTTCCAGACACTGAATCAGGTCTGACTCAGGAGGCAGAGTACACAGAGCAATGACTGCCCGAGGGAATCAGGGGAGGTGTCCCTAAGGAAGTAGTGTTTAACTTGGGACCTGAATTAGGAGAAGGCAGTCAAGCAAAATGAAGAGGAGGTGGTTTCAAACAGAAAACCCAGAGTTGTACCATTTTGAAATGAAAGAGAAGGGCTAGGTGGGTTCTGAAGAACCGTAAGAAATTTAATCTGGGGGCTGGAGCAATAGTACAGCGGGTAGGGTGTTTGCCTTGCACGCAGTCGACCCGGGTTCGATTCCCAGCATCCCATATAGTCCCCTGAGCACCGCCAGGGGTAATTCCTGAGTGCGGAGCCAGGAGTAACCCCTGTGCATTGCCGGGTGTGACCCAAAAAGAAAAAAAACTTGAGTCTGTTGGAGCAGAAAGTGATAAAGTGATTGCCTCGCATGCAGCTGACCCTGGTTCAATCCCTGGCACCACACTTTGTTCCCCCGAGTCCTGCCAGGAGTGGTCCTTAAACACAGAGTAGGAGTAAGTCCTGAGCACTACTCGGTGTGACTCAAAAGCAAGAAATAAAGAAATTTATCTCCCAGGGTCAAAGAGTGGACTTGGTACAGGGGTTAAGGCACTTGCCTTGCATGTGACTAATCCTGGTTCAATCCCTGGTATTGTGTATGGTCCTCTGAGCACTGCCAGGAATGATCCCTGAACACAGAACCACAAATAGCCCCTAAGTACTTCCAGATATGGCCCAATCACCTCCCTCACCATGCTCAGACAAACAAATTTAGTCTACCATATGCTGAAAATGTTAACAGTGAAGAAGCAGGGCCGGAGTGATAGCATAGCAGGTGGGCACTAGACTTGCATGTGTCCGATCCTCTGCACTCCATATGGTCCCCCACACCCTGCCAAGAATGATCCCTGAGTGCAGAGCCAGGAGTAAGCCCTGAGAACTGCAAAGTGTGGCTCACCCTCCGAAAAAAAAAAAATAGTAGTGAAGAAGCAAGAGATGAGACTGAGAAACCATTTCCTGTAGTCCATTGCTTCTTTTGTGCTGTTATGTCAATGAACATATGTGTCTGCATTGGATTATTAGAATGAAAATTGAAATAATTGTGATACATAAAAACAGGTTCAGAGAGTAACGGTTCAGTTTAATACATGAGTTTCTAGAGTTATAAAATTGGTTGCAAAACT